AAATCTTGAATGTATAAACAAAACCCACTCACTGAACACTTTTACAGAACCATATGGGAAAAGTGGAAGGAACAGAGTTTCAAGCCTATTCTATTCACTAAACAATGTCTGTGTTTGATGGCTATCACAGACATATATATACATAGGCTTGGACCCAGATCTAAGTGTAACTTCTTATAACTTCCCACCATCAAGGAAGTTGTAGAGTCCCATGAAACCACCATATGGGATAGTGAACAGACATTAATTACCCATTAGCCATTAAACTAATTAAATATATATAATAAATATATATAATATAAATAAATAAATAAAATAAACATGTGGCATATGGGCCGCTTTATGAATATTCTTACATTCTCCCACTTGGCACATATAACACACGTTGTTGACTGTCAGGTAACTAACAAACTGAATATCTCATCTTTCTATCATATCACTTCAAACTCAACCCATATTTCACGTTTTTTCGTAAAAAGTCAAAAAGTACACTTATTTAGATCATTCCAAACAACCCCTAAGTGTACTTTTTAACTTTTTATAAAAAGATGTGTAGAAAAGTAGAGATGAGATATTAATTGATGTGACCCAAAAAAGATAAAAAGATGGACTAAAATAGGGTACCCCAAACAAGGCTTTAGATCAAAAACTTAGTTTGATATATATAGCTCACTCCAATAGTGAAAATCAAAAATTTCATCAATTTTTTCTTTTTAAGATACTTAACATTTTCCAAAAATCTCAATTAACTAATTTTGTTAAGAAAAAAAAAAAAAAAACTAATCTTTGACACTAAGTCCGTGTTTGGGAAGACAATAAGTCTACTTTTTTTTATCTTTTTATCTTTTTTTTAAAGTTATATCAATCAATATCTTTTTTTTATTTTTTTATATATTTTTAAATACACTTATTTAGAACATTTCAAGCAACCTCTAATTTCACCGCCTACTTGATACCCATTTAAAGCCGCACCTGATACTTGTACAGTTTGAGAAGAAGGTTTTCAGGCTTTGAGCTATTTTGGGAAGATGGTTATAATCAATTTATTGGTAAAAAATTACTTATAAACAGTTTATAAGCCGTTTTTTGTGAGAGAAGAAGTGAGTTATAATCTGGAAAGTGGATTATAACCCACTTCTCAAAATAGGTTTAGCCACAAAAAAATAAAATAGGTTATTTTAGTTATAACAAATAAAACATTACATTCAATTCATAATCATTACACTATTTTCTCACAAAAAAATCAAAAAGTCCTTCTCAAATCAAGTTTTTTAACTCAGGTTAAAATAGTTTAAAAAAAATTAAAAAATTAATTCACTTTCCAAACGGGGCTGATATTGTTTGTTACAGCTTATTATAAGTTAAAAATTAAGAATTAAAATATTTCTTCTTTAGTTTTAAATAATTTTTTTTTTCAATTTATTTAAATTATTTTTAGTTAAAAAAATTGTAAGTAGAAATTATACTAAAAAGCTGATTGCGGGCCTATGATACCTGACAGGCTTCCAGTTGTGACCACTAAGGTTCCACCTAATTTTTGTATCGGTGCCGACATTAGATATAGAAGCATTAATTTCTCAGTACGGGATGCGTTGATAAGTTGGTAAAAAGTTAATTTTTAATTTTTTATCAAATTTTTTAGTTTTTTGAGAAGTGATTTGAGAAGTTGGTAGAAAATTAATTTTTTATTTTTTAATTTAATATTTATTTATAGTGTCAAATTAAATTAAAATTATTAAAATATCCTTATTTAACATAAGAAATTTTTTTTATATTTTTTTTTCATAGGTCTTAATTTGTAATTTTACACCTGTGTTTTTAACACTTGTCAAGCCAATTTTCTGGCTTTTTGGCACTTGCGTTTTTGGATCTTTGCTATGTTCTTAAAATGGCACTACGTATCGAGGCATTTGGAAAGTTGTTATTTTAATAAGTTATTTTAATTTTTGATTATTTTAATAAGTTAAAATTTTTGAGTATGTTTGGTTTGGTTTTGGAATAGTAGTTTTTAAAAATTATTTTAAGAAAAGAGTTTAGAAATTTTTTTGGTTTGTTTTGTTGTATATTTTGAAAGTAATTTTGGAGTTTTGAAGTTTGGAATGATTTGATATTTTGTTATAAATGTGTAGATGTGTGTGAGAGAAAAATTGATTGAGAATGAGAGATGAGAGAGAGAAAAAGTGATTGACTGATAGGTAAGAGAGAGTGATTTTGGAAATTATTTTGAAAAATGTACAAACCAAACAAATTTTTAAAATTTTTTTTTTCAAAATCACTCTACAAATCCAAACCAAACAAACCATTTATGTTTAAAATGGTAGTTGGATTTTTTTTAGTTGGATGTGAGGTTTATAAGAGAAAAAATAAAATAATTATGGATTTGATGTGACATTTGTCTTATTGATTATTTTAACTTATTTTGTCATTTTATAAATTTTAGTCCAAAAAATTAAAAACAGCTTTCGCCAAACACCCCCATCATTTCTTATAATATTGGTTTTTAAGGTTAATTACACTCTTTTTTTTTTATAGTAAATTAGAGAAAATATAATATAATGATTGAAATTAATATCAATACTGAAATAAATAAAGAGAAATTTCTATTTTAATTGAAAAAATATATATATATATATATATTTAATTTTACTATTATTGCATTCCAAATGTTATGTATTCCATTTTAAGTTGAGAGATGTCATATGAGGTATTATAATATTTTATTGACATAGATAACAGATTCTTAACAAAAGATTCACTAATACAAATTGAAAGTTGAATGTGATAAATTATTTTTTTAATTGAAATATAAAAAATAAAATTGAGTAATAATTTTTCTTATTTATTATCAAAATATATATAACATTTCTATATAAAAGATTTGGCTCCAAATATAATTCAATTAGGCATTGAGCCCACTCTAATGGTTGAAGCTATGTATTTTAGCCGTTCTTGTATGTAGATGTATATATAATAAAAATAAATCAGATTCATTCGATAATTTTAATAACAAAACAATATAATTATAATTAGGGTAAATTACACTTACAACCCCTGAGGTTTGAGTTTAATACATATCACTCCTGACGTTTGGGAAATTACACTATCTCCCGTCATTGTCATTATTTAGACGGAATGAAGACATTGAACTCATGCACTTTTTTTATTTTTGCTTTTCTTTGCTTTACTTTCTCTTTTTTCCTCATTTCCTTTTTTTTTTTTTTTAATGTAATTTTCTCTGTTTTTTTACTAAGAGTTGTTACTTTTTATATAAGAGGGGGTTTGTAAAATGAGACTATTAACCACAGGGATGGAAATGTAATTTCTAAAACGTCAGGGGTGGGTATTAATTGGACGGATAATGTTTGAGAGGTCAAAAATATCCCTTCCTCATCCCCCTAATGCCCAAAACGACGTGGTTTTGGATATTATTTTTTTTTTCCTTCTTCTTCGTCAATTCTGAGGGAGAGGGAGAGGGGGAGGGAGAGAAAGAGGGAGAGAGGAAAGGATCGTTTGCTCACCATCGCCGTCGCCTCGCCGCCGCCGATCGTCTGCTCACCACCGCCGTCGCCTCCGGCCCCGCATCCTCCTCCTCCTCCTCCCTCCACTGTTATGGCCCCCTCCAGTCCACTCCTCCTCCTCCCTCCTCCTCCTTCCCCTGCTTCTGATAAAAAAAAAAAAAATTAGGGGGATTCGGGGGGATGCATTTTCGAGCTACGTAGCACGGTCGTAATTGGACCAAACCTCAAGGAGTGTCAATGTAATTTACCCTTATAATTATGTCAATATAATTTATTCATGTATAATTTAGGACTTGTAAAATGAATAATTCAATGGGATTAGTGATACATCCTTCAAATTCAACTAGACTTGTGTACACTTGTATTTTCAAATAATTGAAATGAGAAAAGCTTTATAATCTTATTATTAATGTGGGTAAGTGATTAAGTGCAGGTTGTTTTGTGGGTTTGATGATATATATTGCATCTTCTTGGGGAGCTTGAACAACCTCTGCTCACTAATCAGACAATATGGGCTATCAAAGGGCACCGATGAGGCCTTGTTTGTCATTGAAGCTTACCGGACCCTCCGTGACCGCGGCCCATACCCACCCGACCAGGTTGTGAAGGATCTGGAAGGAAGCTTTGCCTTTGTTGTCTATGATAGCAAAACTGGAACTGTTTTTACTGCTCTGGTATCTTCACTCGTGACTCCAAATTATTAGAACACTTATTTCATGAGTTTTTAAAATTTTACATTTTTTTTTTTAGGGTTCTGATGGTGGAGTTAAGCTGTACTGGGGTATTGCTGCTGATGGCTCTGTGGTTATTTCTGATGATTTGGAGGTCATCAAAGCTGGCTGTGCCAAATCATTTGCTCCCTTCCCAAAAGGTAATTGCAATGGCTATTTTGGTCGAGCAATGATATATAAATACTATATATATACAAAATGACTTGTCTATAGTGGAATTTATATTACTTTGAATTATAGTATTCACCAAAATATAAAAATTTCACACTCATCTTAGTTTGATGATGAATTGTATTTGAAATTTTTATTATGAAGAGTATTTTTCAATTTGGTCAATTACACTAGAATTTAACCAAGGTGGTTAAATGTACTGAAAACAATAAAAACACATCAATTTTTCAATGAGAGTTCACAAAGCACTATATTTATCTTATACACTACCAAAACAAATACATGTGTATTTTTGAAACAAAAATTAAAGCTCAGAAAAGGGAGAAAAAATCACTGCTTAATTGACACAATTGAAGTGTTTGGAACTGTGCTCTCGCTGTAGCGAGTGTAGAAATAATTTCTTTGAAGTGACCTACAGAATCATCAAATGGACAAACCATGGCTTACAAAATCACTGAAAATCCAAACAATTGAAACTCAATTGCATAATTATTAGAAGATAAATATTATGGGTTGTGTGTGCAGGATGCATGTTCCACAGTGGAGGAGGATTGATGAGTTTTGAGCATCCAATGAACAAGATGAAAGCAATGAAGAGGATTGATAGTGAAGGGGTTGTGTGTGGTGCCAGCTTCAAGGTGGATGTCTTCACTAGGGTTAACAGCATCCCTCGTACTGGAAGTGAGGCCAATTGGTCTGAATGGGAGGCTCATTAATCTTTTCTAACTATTTGCTAAGCCATTAACTGTTGTTGTTGTTGTTGTTTTGGTTGTTGCTGTTGTTGTAGACTGGTAGTAGTTTGTGTTAAGCTTGGCAATGGGTGTCTCTGATGTTGTTTAATTCCAAAATAATTTATACATAAATAAAGAGTTTTTTATGTTTCGAATGAGGATGTCAAATGGATCTAGTTGGAATGGCTAAGAATCTTTTGTTATCAAATATCTCTTTGCAAGTGTTTTTGACTTGGACAAATTAAGATATTGATCGAGGACATGAGATTTCAAATGTAATAGGCATGCGATCTTTTTATGTCAAGTGGTTGACCACTATTTTGTCTAAAAGCAATAGTTCTATGAATCCAGACAAAAACAACTAGAACAGGTCCAGAATTTGAAATTAAAGGTTGTGGATGTGGTTCCACAACTACGACTTTAATTTTACACTATAAATTTAACATTCTAGGATATATATATATATATATTTTTTTTTTTACACCCCCCGTAATAGACTTTTCCTATCTAAGATGTATATGTTGCTGTTTTGGATAAGAATAGAAATGCATGTTCTATTGCTTACAATCTTAAATTATTGATCACTGTCATAGTTAAGCAATTATAAATGAATTAAATTTATTATGAGTAAATTACACAAACCTCATTATTATGAGTGAGATAATTATATCAACTTCCCCTCTAAGAGGACAAACATTATGAACTTGAGGGAAGGGGTAAATGGCCGGCTGAAATATGTTTGGGACCCCATGAATGAGGATTTTCATGACCCTCATTAATATATTGATCATTGATGTGTTTGAATTTTTTTTAAGGGTTGTGTATGACAGTGATATGATTGATTCAGATCATTTTAGGAGCTGTGGAGATTGTGTTTTGTGGGAGTCTCTCATTACTAATGGCCAGCTACCACCATTTCCACTCTTTAGTCCCTTCCCCCACCCAACCGACAACTGCATCTACCCAATCCCTAGTACGGCAACCATCTAAACACCAGCTCCTTCCCACTGCGACTCCGATTCCCTACCTTCGTTGTTGGGAAATGATTGATAAAAGTTACTTGTACTTGGTGCAAGTGTAACATGTGCACGTGTACAAGTGTAATACATGCACAATACAAATGACTACTGTGATGACTCACAAAATTTGTACTTGCAACGGATACAATTAGCACTTGTGCTTGTACACATTTCGTAACAACAAAAGGTAGAGAGCTAGAACTCGGGGAAAGCAAATGAGGGTATGATAGTGTAACAACCCTCATCACTGTTTACCGATTAACCACTGATTACTGCTAAACTAAGACTGATTATGACTGATAATTGAATTGATCGAAATACTGAACTGACTGATTGAAATCCGAAACTGATTGATTGACTGTATCTGTTTAAAGGCATTTTCTATCTGTTGATTATTAATTGATCTATTCATGTTTTTGTGTTTAAACTGCAAATTGAAGGCCTTATCGGCGGCCAAACCAAAAATTGATTGATGTTTTGAGATCATTGGAATTTATATGATTTTATGATATATTTAATTGAAAATTGATTTGGTATGATTAAACTAGACTAAATATTGATAATTGCCTAGTTTGACTTAATCACCATAATGCCATTGTTAGTGGGTCATGTAGGCTAAACATATTAGAGCCTTTGTACACTTGATCAAAACACTCCCATCAGCTTTTTTTTTGTTGCCTACAACCGACCGAGATAGAGAGTGAGAGAGAGTTGAGTTGTTCTTGAAAGTTTGGCTAGAGAACTTGAAGAATTGAAGAGTAAATTGGCAAATTGAACCTCTAGACTTGTCATTGAGGAGCCTAGGTATGAATTTCATTCTCTAAATTGTATATTTAAGCTCTATCTAGCATGGATCATGATAGTTTAATGAGCTAAGTCAAGAATTGGTCTTGTAGTGTTGGATTAAGGCTTGTATCATGCATGCATGTGTTTATCCTTGCATTTTGATGTTGATTTCATGGCAATTGGTGCATGCATATTCATAATAGTGTGATAGTCCATGGTTTCATCATGTTTTTGTAAGAGTTAGTTCATTTGAGCTTGTATTTAAAGCTTTGAAATGATTTAAGTTCATGCATGTTTGCATGTTTTTCATATTCTTGAAAATTGGTTTGAAATTGAGTTGTTTGAAACACCCTTGGGCTTTGATTTTACAATTGAGCTTTGGAATCATGTTAAACTATGAGTTTTGAGAAGTTTTCTGGAAAATTAGCCCAAGAGGATTGGTTTTGATGTTTTAAAACTTGGTTTTGAGCTTGAGGTTCAAATCTAGAATTTTCAGAATTGGACTCACGCTCGAACGGGGTGACTGGCGCTCGAGAGTGTAATTCGTGCTCCCAGTACTTTGCGCTGTTTTGAAGTCCGCTCGAGCGGAATAATTGACGCTCGAGCGGGACATTGTGTCTCATGCTCGAGTGGGTGTCGAGCGCCCAATCGAGCGTGATTTTCACCTATCCAGTACTTTTGACTGTTTTGCAGAACGTTCGAGCGGAAACCTTTGTCTGCATGTCCGCTCGAGCGGAGTAACATACGCTCGAGCGTGGCCCCTGTTTTTTGAAAATTCTGAAAATACTTTTAAAGTGCATCTTTGTATCCTCATCCCATCCTAGGCATTCTTAGGCCTAGTTTAAGACATCTTAATGAGGATATAGATGAAGAACACACTGAGGCAAATTAGGGATTAAGTTATTATCTTTCCCGACTGTGTGGCTTAATGTGTGTTCAATCTGTAAACTGTGTAGGGTTGGCGACTAGAGACGCGCTCTAGCTGCTTATAGCCCAGAACTCTGTGAGTAATAACTGTGTAAAGATATGTTCAAAATGATTATCTTCTGAACAATTGAACTGTACTGCTTTCTGAACTGTTACTGTTAATTGAATGAATGTATGTCTTATATTCTGAACTGTATTGTGGCATCCATAGCAACTACTGTTTGCTGTTACTGTTACAGAGATCTCTGTCGGTTCCCTTGTTGGAACCACTACTGTTTACTAATTGATGGCCATCATTTACTGTTCGGTCTTTTAAGACCTACTGTTTACTGTACTGTTATGCTAATGGATGTACCACATATGACTGTTATGACTGAATGACTGATATACTAAATCAACTGACTGTTTTCAATACTGAAAGGACATTCATTATTAACCTCTTTACGCATTACGTTATTCACTGGGCTTTAGCTCTGTCACGACCCAAACCCGACCCTATGGGTTTAGCACCGTAACTAGCCAGTAATCCGAGATTACCGAAGGCCTGCTTAACAGTAGTACAGTAAAACAGAGTACAGGGCCTGGCGGAAGCCAAAACAGTAAGAAAACAATGCCCAATGAGCTGTGACAGTCTGCATGCAAAAAAGACTCCAAACATATTTACATTCAGTGGAAAGATACACACAATATAAACAATCATTCAGAATAGGGACCCAATTCCTATGTAACGGTACAGTAAACATTCAGTCTATACAATCCATTTGGTTATTACAAAACAGCAAGACAGTACAGAAGGGGGAGTCCTAAAACACCCCTAAGCCTTAGCATGATAGGCTTCGAACCTCGCAGTGAGGCACGGTAGTTGGCTTGACAAAACTGGAGTAACCCTGACACTCCTAGCCGCGGTCTGGTGCCTGTACACTTACATATATATATGAGCAGTGAGCTAAAGCCCAGTGAATAACATAAAGCGTAAAGAGTAGTTAAGAATGAATGTCCTTACAGTATGAAAATATCATTAAATTCAGTATTTCAGTCGTCAGTCAGTACAGTCTATAGTGGTGACATCCATTAGCATAACAGTACAGTAAACAGTAGAGTCTTAAAAGACCGAGCAGTAAATGAGGCCATCGTCAGTAACAGTAGTGGGTCTCCAACAATGGGAACCGGCAGAGATCTCTGTAACAGTAAACGTAAACAGTAGGTGCTAAGGATGCCACAATACAGATTCAGAATATAGGAGCATACATTCATTCAGTTAACAGTAAATCAGTTCAGAAAACAGTTACAGTTCAGTCTTAGAAGATAATCATTTGTGAACATATCTTTACACATCGTTACTCACAGAGTTTGGGTTCATACAGTATCGCTAGAGCGTGTCTCCCCATCGCCAACCCTACACAGTTTGACAGATTTGAACACACTAAGCTACACAGCCTGGCGAAAGAAAGATAATAACTTAATCCCTTGATATAAGGGGCCTTCTCCTCCCCATTATGTTGGTTTGGATGTTTTGAACAAAAAAAAACCAGAGATATATAGATATCTCTGATATATACATACATTATATCCCTTTCATCTCTCACTAATTCTCTCCCATTCAACCATCAAACACCCTTGTCTTGGGCCATTTCTTCATCAACTCATAGCACAAGGCATCCTTACTCCATTGGCAGCAACTTAAGCTATTCTTCAGAGCTTAGGAGCACCTAAAACTGGTCCAAAGAGGTGCTGGGTTTGGCTGGTCTTCAAGGGTGAGTCCTCCTCTTCCCTTTTCATAGTCTTTTTCTTGCTTCATACTCTAAGCCATAGTTGCTTTGCACTTTTTGCGGCTCCGACCCAAACTGTAAATCATCATATTTTGAGGGTCCTCTTCATGTTTTGATTGAGACCGCTTGCTGGTTTTGAGGACAGTAGCTAGCACTTCCTTCACTAGCCCTCTGTTATGCCATAATTTTGCATTTAATATTTTTGGGCTTGCGTTGTGATCTGTTATTGAGACATGTTATTAAACTGTGAAGTTAGCTTCTTTTTGAGCCCCCTCTTCACACATTGAAGAAGGGGCTCAACACTGTTGGGATAACTCCCATTGTGCTACTTGCTTGAAATCCATGATGTTAGCACCCATTTTTGCATGCTTATTATAGCCCTATGTTTACCTACTGTTTGGCCATGCTTTTGAACTATAAAAATGCTTGTTTTAGACAAATATATAGTGAGGTGGGCTGCCTTGTCTTCATGTATATTCATCTCATGTTCAAATTATGCATTGGCCATTGCCATAGCTTATAGGCCATTTCATGCGCCAAAATTCATGTTTCGAGACTCAGTTCCAACGCAACGGGTATTCATTTCTGCCTTATTTTCGGGGCTGTTTTGCCCCTCGTTTTTATGCTAGCTGATTTTTTTCTATGTTTGCATATCAT